GGGCTTCTAATGAGAGATGAAGCTTTTATTCTACTGTCTAGATGGTGCAACTCTCAAGTGAAAACTGTTTGATCATCTATTCTTCAATGCTGGAGGTCATGGCCCATTTCTTCCACAATAATCTGATGGTGGGTGGTTCATGGATGTACACAASATCAGAAATCACTTCAACAATAATCTGATGGTGGGTGGTTCATGGATGTACACAACATCAGAAATCACTTCAACAATAATCTGATGGTGGGTGGTTCATGGATGTACACAACATCAGAAATCACTTCAACAATAATCTGATGGTGGGTGGTTCATGGATGTACACAACATCAGAAATCACTTCAACAATAATCTGATGGTGGGTGGTTCATGGATGTACACAACATCAGAAATCACTTCAACAATAATCTGATGGTGGGTGGTTCATGGATGTACACAACATCAGAAATCACTTCAACAATGGAATACACCTTCAAATTCAAACCAGGTTTTGCTTTGGCCCCTTTGGTGTTCTGGACTTAACCATTGAGAGCTTTAAACCATCAAAAACAGCCATATGGCAATCTCATTGGCTTAAATCTGAGGGTATGTATTGGTGCTTCTGGAGGCAGTTTACAGTATTGATGGTGGTTTAGCCACTCTGGATCATGTAACCTGCTTTCTTTGCTGAGGGCAGCAGATTCCTTTGCTGACCTCGATTCTCAAAGCGCGGTGGTGCTTTGTCTTTGATTGTGGCAACCAACGAGGTTGGTTTTTTCCCTTGCTTTCTTTGCTCGGTTTTCTAGCAATTTGGTTGGTGTGCACACAATAATATTAATCTGAAATGTGTGTATTTCTGCCGACAACCATAATATCTACTGTGAAATATTTATACTTTGGTTTTTGTCTGTACATCTACTTTTTGAACAAATTAGCGCACAAGAGCCCCCCTAGCCTCTGAGGCTCATAAGCTTCAAGGTATTGGGCTTTTTTAAAGTCGAGGCTAGGCTAGGCTGCGCCTTTGCTGAGGCACCTGGTGGGCCTCATAGAGTTATTAATCAGTTTTTTCGTCTCTTCATCTCCTAGACTTCTTAAATAGAGAGTTATTAAATAGATGACATAACTCAACCCCTAATATTGGATACCCGGTCCTTAGAACTTCAAGCCTCCTCTTTCTTAAAACTTCTCCCTCACAGCTCACGCTTTAAACTCTTTATCTCTTTTGCCACTATCTGCTGGTTGCTTCATTTGAGGCTTGCACTTGCTGCATATTTTAGTTGTGTGTAACTCTCTGTGGGTGTGTATTTCGATAAGATGCGCCTCGCATTCTTGAGGCCCGTGCCTAGGCCTCGGGACCCTTTTGCGCCTAAATGCGCCTCGATCCTTTTAACAACTTTGCTTATGCTATGTTGTGCATTTCCCGGCATATCTGTTAGAGTTCTATTTGTCATTTCCCTTAGTTCAGGGGTTTGTTATTGTGTGTATTTTGATAAGATGCGCCTTGCATTCTTGAGGCCTATGCCTAGGCCCCGGGACCCTTTTTGCGCCTAAATGCACCATGAGCCTTTAATAACTTTGCTTACGCTACGTTGTGCATTTCCCAATATATTTGTTAGAGCTCTATTTGTCATTTCCCTTAGTTCAGGGGTTTGTTATGTCATTCCGTTTACCAAATGCTTACCGCACGAGTCACCATCCTCAATTACCTTATTCGGTAACTTTCGGTACCATCAAAAGTAAGTGCGTAGCGGTTACCGGGTAAGAGTCACCACCCTCACTTACTGGGTACGACTCTCGATCCTTATCTTATATTTTACCAGGTAAGATTCTCGGTCCTTCCTATGCTGACCTGGTAAGGTAATTGACCTGGTGAGCGCTTACCCTGACTCTTTCTTCTCTTTGTATATATTGTTTTTCTTCTACTTTGTAATGTAAGCTTGATGATAATATATGAAAATCACATAAGCCCTTGGCTCCATCCTTCCTTTTGTTCTTCTTGACTTGAATCTGTGTGTACTGTTATGGGCCTCATGGGGGTTTCTTTTGGCATTTGCAGCCTTTTATTCTTCCACCTTCTTACTTGATGGCAACCGATTGACATGATGCTTGACCCTGGCTCCTACTTTGGTGTTCATACATCTGGTTTATAAGATAACTAGTTATCCATTACGATAATGGATCATTAGATGGTGTCCTGAGATTGAAGAGATCGAATTCCCCAAACCGATGGCTCGCTTGTTTAGTACTGCTAACTATTATTGGAGGATTCTATCCATCCCCGAAAACAAGATCCGAGTCAACCTCGGGAAGGTGTGCTGAATGGAATGGGGAATTTTTAGACTTTGGGCATCTCATCTCAAAGTAAAGTATCCTAATAAAAATAATTTTAAATTTTGTAAAGTTTATTGGTATCTCATGCATTTTGCTATAACTTTATTATCCAGTTGTCAAGGGAGAAAGAGGCCATAAAAGTAGTTTTGGGTGCAATCCAACAACCTGGAAAAGCCATCCATTTTGGCTCCAAATGGCCAAAAAAACGTCACTTGTGGCATAACTTTGGACATCGGAAGTAGATTTTTTACGAATGATTGAGCTTTTTTATAACGTAACTTAAAAATTCAAAATCTCATACTTGTTACCCTTGAACTGGAAAGGTTGCCGGAGTGACTGTTTCGGCACTCGCCCTCATTGATGATCTATCAGAGTAAGGTATTTCAACTTTATTTGGGCACTCGCCCTCATTGATCGTCTATCAGAGTAAGATATTTATCATTCATTTTGTTCATAATTTTGGTATTTGACATCTTTAATCCAACTCGTTTATAGAATTAATATAAAACACCATCTTATACAGAGAATCATCCAATAGTTGAACGATGTCAATTATTAGAAAGTACTATTAAACATAATTAATTTGATTTGTAAATATAATGATAATACAAAGAAAGAAAAGAAAAACAATAATAAAGTGATCGTTAATAAACTCTCAGATGACGTTTATTTTTTAAGAGATGCTGAAGTCTGATTTCACTTATGATTTATAAGAGGTGTTGCTGAAATCTAAAATCTGAATCATTCAAACGGTTTGTTTTTCTAAATTGACAAACGTCTGAAGTCTAAAATCTGAATCAATAAAAATGTTTGTTTTTGTAAACTGACAAGCGTCTGAAGTTTGAATCAATTCATTTTAATTAAATTCAATTGAAATATCCAATCATTTAAACTATTTGTAAACTACGATTCAATGGGCATCAGCTGCCAGGTTGCTAGTTGATGAGGCGCTTACTGAGACTGAGGTGCACTATTATCCATCTCATACGTGCTAGTGCTAGTGCTCCAAAATTCCTCTAATATACTACTAGGTTTATTCGTATCTGTACTTTTTCCAAGAACACCTGTTATCAGTAGTTACAAGTGGGGCCTTAGTACGACATCCAAGACACCATTGCTCTGTTGCAAATAAGGTTTACAACCATAAAAATGATTAGGATAAATTCAATTTCACAAGTTTTCTTTATAATCCTGCTGTTTGCAATATGGTAGGGTTCCTATTCTTTGTGATATTTGAAATTTACTTTGTGAAACTAAAGCTACAAATATGGAACCAATCCTTATAATTCTTAAATATCAAGTTCTATTTTTGACTATTTGAACCAATGCCACAGATTCGGAAGATACTGAGGCTCAAATGTTCAATGATCTGTACACCACACAAGGGGATGAATATGCAATAAAATATCATAAATTGGTTCTATACATATTTTGGATTTACAATGTTATACTCTGTTTGGCATCATGGGATGTCGCAACTTGCAAATCCAAAGGGAAGACAACTGAAATTGCAGATAGACAGAACAGATGCAGTCATCATATGTTGGAAAAAGTTTTTTCACACAGGCTTACTTTCAAACTGTATTCTAAAAATTCATGGTCCAACAAACCAGAGGTTTAGCAAGTTGTAGTGCAACATGACATGGCCAAGTATATGTGTCTATAAGATGTTAGAAAGTAATGCAGTTAGAACACATGGCTAAGAAATTCAGCAATAAGAGTTCAAGAGACAAATTTGCATATATCCATGATTTCTCCGATTCTAAAATATTTAACATAGAACAAACATGCACATTCTGCCCTATGCCATTGTGTGAAATACCTGATTTTACTACCTCATAGAAAGACAGTTCTATAGAAATCTCACAACCTAAGGAATAATGACAAAAGGAAATAGATGAATGACCATTAACATCTTACATGTATAAAACTTAGATTTACCCTCAACCTTTTCATAACCAAATGAATAAGAACACAACATAAGCTTCAGATATCAAACAAAAAGGTTTATTTCTCAATAGTCTGCTTGACTAAACAAATAGACACCATATGCATGGCTTCTTTTCCAATATCAAGATTCTTTGCGAAAGGAAAAAAAAACCAAGATCTCATCACTACCCAAGTACAACCCAAGTCCAGATTGATTGTCATTTTTGCTTACACCACAGCCAAGGAATGAGATTCCGTACATTTAGAAAAGTTGAGCTTGAAGCTCACTGGAAAAACTAATAGCTGTTTGGTTGTAGTTAATTACAAGGTAAAGAATGTAAGAGACTAGCCTCCTCTTACCCCCAAGCTTCAAAGAAAATGAAAACTACCATGATAAAAATAAAAATGAATTTCAAACCCACCCCACCCCCCTCTCTCCATACTTCCAATTTGTTCCTTTTTCCAATCTTTTATATTTTCAACCATTACCCTATAAGGTCGAAGCGTAATCATACTTCACACTACACTGAACATTTTCCTATGTACATGGTAAACCTCTCCTCTCAATCCACCCCCCTGCCCCAAAAAGAATAGTAATAATAATTGAAGCAACGCATTTTGGCTAACAACATCAAGAGTTTCTTCCAAGTATCAGTCCATATAATAAGAAGTTCCTTTTTGAATTCATGAATAAGAATGTTATCTCATATTCTACAATTTGCAAAAGGAATCAAAAGGTTCATACATGTAAGCAAGGATCCTCTAAATATAAAATGTTATTTCAGTTACTCATAGAACATTCGTAGTATTTGATACATGATACAATTTTTCAATCTACACATGCAAACAAAGAAGAGAAAAGGAAAGAGGCGAACACTGACCCCATGAATTCGAAAATTTTGCAGATGCAACTGGAAACTGATCTGAAAATTTGCATCTAAAGATCAAGAAACAGGACGTCAAAGAACCAAAACGGATCTCCTGTAAATCAAATCGAACAACAAGTGAACACAGTATCTAGAGATCAACTTCTACAATCCATACTGTTAGATGGAATCTCTCTCTGTCTCTCTCTCTCTCAATGTATATATAAATATATATCATGAATTTTCATCTTCTTTATCAAGATTTGACTTCTCAATTACGAATGAATTAACATGATCAACAAATATAAAGACTCAAAGTAACCCCCACAAGAACAAGACCAAATGTAGTTTGATAGCATGGGATTAAGGGTTTGGGATTGTAATGGGAAATCATTCACTCCAAATTATGAACTAATTTGGGTTCAATTCCTTTCCTAGGCCACCGATTGGGGTCCAGAAACACTTGCATAAACATATCTAATATCATCATTGCAAAATCAACAATCAATTGCGACACAACAGGGTTAAATACTTGAATCAAGACTGAACCACAGGGACGAACAAACAGGAACGAACCACAGGTCCTGTTTGGGTAATTTTCATTCACTCCCAAAACTCCTATTCCCAATCATCGTCTCAATATATGTTCACAAGTTGCCATTTATATCTAGACGAACAAACAGGGCGGGACGAACCACAGGGCTCGAACCTTGATCAAAACAGAAATCAAGAAGGAGATGAACATACCTTGGAGATCGAGAGTGTGTGGATCGATTTGGGTCGTGATCGATTTGGAGATTGAACGTCTTGGGAGATAGATTTGGAGGACTGGATCTGGAGTCGAGGGAGTGATTAAGAGGATTTAAGTGATTAGGTTATCACTTATTTTTCAGAGTAAAATAAGAGCTTTTCAGCTTTTATTTACAAAAAACAAACGGTCTGAAAATAAAAACGTCTGACCGATTCAGATTTAAGAGATATGAAGTGTTTTTTTTAAACAAACAAGCCCTAAGACTTTGTGCATCAAAAGATAGTACCTTATGCATTTAAGGTTGTTTAGATGATATATATGATGGAGCCTTGAGTTTCCAATGTGCTAACTTGCTAAGCACATGTTGATTTCAGGTTCTTATGAACACATAATCTTGTTGGTTTGGATGCCGTTAGCTCCATCTGCTACTTAACTTGGAACGAAGCTATCATGGTGAAGTTAGGTAACGCTCAATCATTATAATTTGGCACTATTGACTGACTTTTTGAATTTTTGTAATTGGCCTTATATAGCAAACTACCCATTCTTGTGAAAATGCTAAGAAATAAATGCAAAGATTCACTTGATACATAGGCATAGCTTAAAAAAGCTTTTAACTAATCAAATACCTACAAGTACCAAAAGAATCAACCCGATATATTTTGTAATAATTGCCAAAAGGTAAATTGGTAAGTGTGGATTGGAATCCTTCCTGAAAAGAAAATTTGCATTTTCTTGGGATAACCCAGAAGAGAATGTGTTGATGTAAATGCGAGAATGAGTGAATTTGGACATATTGTGAAAATGTAAATGCAAAACAACCATCATATTCGATGGCTTTTGTTCAAAATTGTTCTTTCTGACAAACTGTTATATTCTCGTATTTTTGCAAGTATGATGGTTTGTTTGAAATGAACATCTAAGTATGATATCCAAAAAGTGAATGACTGCCTTTTTAAGTATCTAGAATTGCATATGTTTACATTTTCGCATAAATAGCAGGTTGTTGACTTGTTCCCTTATATATTCTTTTTATGATGAACATAATATTCATCAAGAGGAAAAGAAATAGAACCTTAGAGTTGAATGCCTCTTGCTTTGAAGTCACCTGGCTCCATGACAAAATCCTCATTCATTCACATGAATCATATTCTTGATGAATGGATTCCATAACATATGTCTCTTTATCTTCGTGTAGTATGTATATGCATACAACGATTGCCTAAATCAAGTTCATCAAAAAAAAAAGAATATAAGAGAACAAGTCAACAACTTGCTGTTTCTGCGAATGTAAACACATGCAATTCTGGATACTTAAAAAGGCAGTCATTCACTTTTTTGATATCATACTTGGATGTTCATTTCAAACAAACCATCATACTTGCAAAAATACGAGAATATAACAGTTCGTCAGAAAGAACAATTTTGAACAAAAGCCATCAAATATGATGGTTGTTTTGCATTTACATTTTCATACTATGTCCAAATTCACTCATTCTCGCATTTACATCAACACATTCTCTTCTGGGTTGTCCCAATAAAATGCAAATTTTCTTTTCAGGAAGGATTCCAATCCACATTTACCAATTTACCCCTTGGCAATTATTACAAAATATCTCGGGTTGATTCTGTTGGTACTTTTAGGTATTTGATTAGTTAAAAACTTTTTTAAGCTATGCCTATTTGCCTATGTATCAAGCGAATCTCTGGATTTATTTCTTAGCATTTTCACAAGAATGGGAAGTTTGCTATGAAAGGCCAATTACAAAAATTCAAAAAGTCGGTCAATAATGACAAATTATAATGATTGAATAAATGTAGCGTTACCTAACTTCACCATTATAGCTTCGTTCCAAGTTGAGTAGCAGATGGAGCTAACGGCATCCAAACCAACAAGATTATGTGTTCATAAGAACCTGAAATCAACATGTGCTTAGCAAGTTAGCACATTGGAAACTCAAGGCTCCATCATATCATATCATGTTAAAGAATTAAGATACATTTACCATATTGGATGACATCATGAAGCAGGCGTCCTAAATACAGTAGTTGTACCACAATCAAAAAGCATAGAGACCCCTGTAAAAAGAAGATTTGGAGAAAATGTATAAGCAATTCCCCAAAAACCCAAGTGAACAGAACCAATGAAGATAAGAAGAATGAACACTACATAATAAGATTAGAATCGGATGTAACAGTATGAGTACCTTCATCAATTTCTGCAGATCTGTTTGGATGGATCATGGAAGCTGTTATGCTCAGCTCTAAGAAGTCGAATACTCTTCAAGTTTGATGAAATTGTAACTTAAAATGCAAATAAACAGCCAACAACACACAGCTGATAGAAATAAGATAAACTGACATCTCTGATGATCCATCAAGCATGATATGTTGTACAAAACTCGCATCTGAATTTTCTTTAAAAGTAAATTTGAACTTAAGTTGAGCATAAATTTTACTTCATTGCATTTCCTGTGGTTAGCCTGTGTTAGTGAACCCAATAAAATGAGTAAAAGAATTCGGTTTAATAAACCTCAGAAGTATTAATGATACATAGGTCTTTATTTTTGTAATCGTGGGTGTCCTGACCAGCTTGCATGCACCTCGACTAATCTCATGGGCCCTGAAGTTAACACGCAGGCAAACCCTAGTGGGGGATTTGAACTAGTGAGCTCTGGGGAGCAAACCCAATATCTTACCAGTTGAGCTAACCCACAAGAGTGTTTCTCCAGGATTATTGTTTATTGAATCCAAGAACAGGTGTTCCAACCTTGTTACTATGGATCTGGCAATGAATTGATGATAATGTGATGGACAAGCACCACCTATTCAGATTAAGACGCTTTCCATGAGAGTTCAAACAGACTTTACTTGTTCCAGCACACAGTGATATACAACGGCAACCAAGTAATCATTCGTTGTATCCTACTTCAAGGTGGGAAGAGAACGTTCATCAATCATGAAAAATATGTTCGATACCACATATTTCGACCACCTACTTCAAATTTCCAATCGTGTCTCTCTGAATTCAATGCAGCCTCATTATTTCATCGCTTACCATCTTTCTTTTATAACTTCATTCAAATAAAAGAAATCCCCACTCCCTCACAACCCCCACCTACGATTTGTAGGGGAACTTATGTACATACAAAAGTTATTCTGGAGCAAACCACCCTTTGAACAACTATATTATATATTCTATTAGAAATTGTTTAGTCCCACTCCCAAAAAATTCTTATTTTTGGCGGTGGGGTGGGGGGGTGGGGGATTCAACCTGATTAAGCAAATCCCCAGCCACTCAATAGAATACATACCTGAAATGAAAAGAAAACCCATTGATGATAGGCATAGCATCACTAGAAACTTCATATACAAGAGAACACACAATCTGAGAAAACACACTAATTAACACCATCTTAAAGGTTACACTTATCTACAAACCACCAAGGACAAAATTATGTAATAATCCAATAACTGAACAATAATAGTTTTCTGCTATATATATGGGAGTAGATCATTTAGTGTTGGGATCTATTTCAGCTACAAAGAATCTGAAGTTCTATCAGACCTCATCAAATCCCAGTCATCAAAGTGCATGCATGAAGATGATTTATATGGCATTAACAGTAATAAAAAAGAAATTAATCATTAATTTTTCAATAGCATATAGTCTCTATCTACAAAAAACCTGATGCTTGAATCCAGATTATTTGCATCAACAACTTATTTATGATGATAATTATGCCTATCCTCACTACAATTACAAAAGCACTCGATCCACTCCGTTCTGCATCAAATTGCATTAGGTTCCATCTTTACCCTTATGCCTTCCCAATAATGCATTTAAAACCAAAAGAATATGACAACGTGCTAAGTGCTTTTGACAAACAGCATAGTGAAGAAGAAACAGCAATGTTGCCTTCCTTACAAACAACCTCAATCAATTCATGCCCACCACAATCTGTACCCCCTTCTCTCTATCTAATAGCAGCATCGGGGTATACCAGTTTCTTGGACCAAAAACGTAATCAAATCTGATCTTCTACTAGAAAACAGTTGGTTTTGACATACAACTGCTAGTACCCTCAACATCAGGTACATCTTTAGGGATGCTCATCATATCAGATATATAACGTACATTAAACTAAAGTCACTGACCAAAAATAGAGATATCAGGAGCAAAAAAGTGACATGATTACTACAAGACATTGAAAAGCAATTATGCTTTACCTCACAGAAAAAGAACCCCTGTAAGGTGTGAACACATCTGAACATTAGGCGTTCCCTGCAAAGCCATTGGGATTCTTTTGCGCAGAAGTATTTGCTAAAATGATAAACATGGTTCTGTAATGTTCCCTTTTCAACAACTGATCCTTTAATTAGTGCAGAATTTAGCCACTCGTATTTTCGATTGAAGCATCCTTGCTTCTGAGTATAAACCTGACCTATGAAGACCTTTGACAACAACCCTTTGGGTAGGTCTAGGCACCTTCATTCCCTGATTTAAACAAGCTAACAAAAGCTTCGATGCATGCAAAAATCTCCTTTCCTTGCAGAGGTTATGCACCAAGGAGGTGTAGGTAATACAGTCTTTAACCTCCATTGTCTCAAAAATCTTCAAAGCATTATTAGTGTAACCAGCTTTACATAACCGATCAACCATGCAATTGTATGCAACTAAATTAGAATCAAAACCCAACATATCCATATATTTCAGATGTTTTAGTGCACCATCGATGTTACCTGCTCTGCAGAGCCCGTCAATTAGTGTAGTATGTGTATATTGATCACATTTTAACCCTGCTTCTTCGATCTCATACAACAAGTCATAGACTTCTTCCAACCGACCTTCTAAGCAATACATATTAACCAAGATATTGTAGGACACAATATCAAGTTCAATGCCCTTTTCAACCATCAAATCAAAACATCTATGTGCTTCTTCTAGTCTACCAGTTTTAGCAAAAGCACTGCTGACGGTGCAGTATGCGAACGCATCATACGTATATCCTTTATCTTTCATCTCATGGAAGACTTCAATTCCTTCTTGGAATTTTCTTGCTCGGAAACAATATTTCATCACTGTTGTGTAAGTACTGGCATTAGGCGCAAGGCCTGATTGCCCAAGCTCCTTGAGGACCGTTCTTGCTGCACGCAACCAGCCTGATTTGCAAAGCCCGTCTATCAATATGTTGTATGTTAATAATTGAGGAATGAATCCATGCCGCTGCAAACTCCGGAATAACATCAACGCGTTAGCTGTATACCCATTCTTGCAGAGACCATTGAGCATAGTATTGAATGTGGTTGAACAAGGAGAAAGTTTGCTCATAACAATATCCTGGAAAACTTTGTTGGCCTCCTCAGGCTTTCCTAATCTAAAAAAGCAATGCATTAGAGTATTGTAACTCCAAATATCAGGTGGAATTCCCATCTTAATCATTTCATCAAACAGATCCAAACATCTCGAAAGTAAGCAATGGTTCGAAGCGCCAGCTATCAAAGAATTATATGTAACTACATCTGGATATATGTCTGCCTCTCTCATCCTATGTAGGACTGAACAGCCTGCATCAAAGTCAACAAAACGACAATATGCAGCAACCAATGTGTTGTAAGTAACAACATCCGGTAGTGTTCCTAACCTTATAGCATCAACAATAACGGCTTCAGCTTTCTCCAACTGTTGGACTTTACAAAAGGAAACTACACATATATTCATCAGCCTTGTTGATAATTTACAAACCATTGTCCAGATTACTGCCGGGGGTATCCAAACCGTGACCTCAAACAGAAAAATCTCATATACTTACGTCAGAACATAGACATATCTGTACGAACGTAAAACGAACTTCAGCCAATGACCTGCAAAAAGAGGGACTCCATGGGTGAGAAGGCTGACATGAAGGCTCTCATTCCAAACCGGTACAGCGCAAGGAGCAAGCAGTTGACTCTTTCACTCGGACTGACAAGCAACTACAGGAGCGACCCCTCATCATCTTAAGATGAGATCTTCCTCCGACTCCCAGAAATCGGTCAGCTGGGAGGAAGTGCATATGGCAGATCAGCTTCCTGTACCTAGGTACGGATTGGATGCTCCTCTCTCCAAAGCAGGTGGGTGAGAGGTAATTCTTAAAACAAGCAAAATAAGATGGTAGTTTTGTTAGATGTACAAGATTATCATGTCATTCTGATATATACTTTGCATTTTGGTACTTATTAGGGTTTCCTTTTGTTCAGCCCATTTTGCATTATTTATTAATATCTTAATCAATGGAAATAGCGAGTAGAGAGCCATATAAAACCGTAATACCCTAGACTAAAGAAATTTAGGTAAAATAAAAAAAACCATCATACAGTGACATCTGCTATTGTTCTCCTGTTCCTTTTCTGCCTCTTCTCTGTGGCTGTCAATAGAGTGTCGTCAAAAGTTTCCTGCATCAGCAACAACGGGATACAAGGGATAAAGTATCCAAGGAATTCAAGAGAATTATGAATAGTGAACAAAGAATCAATTGTGACCAAAATGAAGCAATAACCTTCCAGATAAACTCTTACCAGATTATATGCATGTTTGGTTATCAACAACCCAGTTCCCCTCTGAAGATCCTTTTAGAAGGAAGTGTAAAATTCTGAAAAACATTAGTGAAATATGACAGAGTATTCGTATTGAAGCCAAAGATGGCTACTACTATTTTCTTCCATTGCATATTAGAACATGAAGGAAATGACTTCACAGATTCAAAAACAAGTATATATGTAAGAAACAAGATAGTTGCTTGTGATAATGGTATGCGTTTGCATCACAATTGACGAGGATTTCTTAGATGATTGATCACTAAATGATTGAGTAAACATATTCCACCAAGGCACCAATCCTAGATCAAATGCCATCCTCATTAATTGGCATGCATTTTATGAAAAAAAATATTGACGGATATAATGCAATTATAATTGTATAATTTAATATTCCCTTTGTTCCGAAAGAAGAGTCGGCTTTATATAATTTCTTTATCACAAAATAAGATTCCTAGTTAAAGTTTAACATTAAGAAAAAATATAAAAGATTGGAAAGAGTCGTTTGGTTAACGTATTTAATCAACGAGAATTTTTGTCCAAAACATTTTGTTTTTGAGCCCCTACATTGTAAAATGGACTCAACTTTGAGGATGGAAGGACTATAACATAATGGGGCCCTAAACTTGTAAGATGAAGCAGTATATATGGGGGCGTTTGGTTCGCAAATTCTGAAGGAATATGATTGGAATTGGAATGTTGAATTCCATCAACCAAATTTCATTCTCTCGTTTGGTTCATTCTTTTTTATAAAAGGAATTTCAAAATCCTACAACTTCCACAAATAAAGAAATTTAACATTCCTTAGCAACTACATGGTATTTTGATGGAATGGAATTCTCTATTTTCATAATACCAAATATGCTTTTAACCCAATATACTCTAATCTCATAAAACCCAATATGACCTTCGTCGACCACCGACCACCGTCGATCTGAATCACTGCCGACCACCGCCATCTGAACCATCGCCGACCATCATCATCTACCACCAATCTGAACCACCGCCGACTACTACCAATCTGAACAACCGCCAACCACCGTTGATCTGAACCACCATGGACCCCCACTGATCTGAACCACTGTGGACCATCGCCATCTGAACCACCACGGACCACCATTGATCTGAACCACCACTAACTACTATCGATCTGAATCACCACCAGCCACCGCCGACTATCACCGATCTGAACCACATCCAACCACCGCCACCTGAAGCACCACAGACCACCACCGATCTAAACCACTGTCGACCACCCGCGACTACCACCGATCTAAATCACCGCTGACCACCAACGATTTGAACAACCACCGATCTGAACCACCGCCACCACCGTCGATTTGAACCACCGTTGACCACCTCCATCTGAACCACTGCGGACCACCATCGATCTGAATCACTGTGGACCACCGCCATTTGAACCACTGTGGACCACCACCGATCTGAACCACCACCGACCACCGTTGATTTAGTAACGTCGTTTGGCTTATGGTTATATTTGGGTTGTGTGTTTTATATTGTTTTACATATTAAATAATTATTTTATTAAAGTATTTTTAGTTTTAAAAAATTAAAATTTTCAAAAAAGGGCATTTTGATCATTTACCAATATTTCATTCCAATTCCAAAGCTGCACTCTATGAACCAAACAGACACATTCTAATTCCTTAACAGATTTTGTTCCAATGTCTGCCAACCAAACAAGTGGTCAAACCTGCAACATTCCATTCCAATTCCTTCAAAGTCAAATTCCTTTAACAGATTTCATTCCATCCAAAAACATTCTGCGAACCAAACGCCACCTAAGGTTTTCATTGGGAATGAAGCTCTTTCAATTCAAAACTTCAACTCTTTAACTTTATTACTTCAACATGTAATTGGGACACTTTCCTTAACCACCAAAAGTATATTTTAATTATCATATCATAGAATTAGAGAAACAAAGATTTCTCACTTTTATCTCCCTCTTCATGATGGCTACTTCAGTGATCCCTTTTCCGGCATGGGCCATTTTCTCCCACAACAGTGACCTTACTATTCCTCGACCACTATTTTTCAACTACCAGGTAGCCCTCTATTGGTTTATTATTCCACATTGAACTTTACATTTATGAAATTTTCGATCGAAGACTTCTATTAAGATTTATCAAACAATTTGTTTTGAAACCTCCGATTTGAATTTTAGAACTCTAATTATGTAATAATAGGCTTGAAAAATGGAGTTAGTATTTGAATTTTCAACTATGATTAGCTTTAAAATTAAGAATTCAATATGAAAACCAAATTTGGTCACCTTAATGTAAATTTGTTGCAAAAAAGGCCTCACCGTCCTTTTTTGGCTTTTTACGGACATGACCTTGAAACTGTAATGCACAACTTGATCAAACTTCTAACCCCAAGGCTATTGAGGTCTTGGTTCTCATCATTATTTGGCAGACCGCAGACACATAGCCACATGGTCCAAATTGCAACCCCATTCTCATTTGCATCAAAGCGATGTGTTCTTCTTCATATTGTAAGCAAGAGAGAACTTATGAAGAATATATATTCAACCCCCATTCTCATTTGCATCAACCTATATTCAAAACAATCTGAAGGCCTTTATCCCAATGTCATTGAAGGTGCCAAATAAACATCCTAACCCCTAGTAGGTCTCATTGGAGACATGGATTTGTGAGTGGATGTGTGTATCTAGTTTGTTGTCCAAAAACACCTAAACTTAAAACAAATATACCTATTACGAATTTCATTTAGTTAGGTCAAAACTCATGTATCTACTATGAATTTAATGGGTCACATTACCATCATCCAATAACCCACCACGAGTTTTAGCAACTCAAACGAAACTGCTAAACCATTTCTATCCATTAGCAACTCGTTTATACAATGAGAATCACTTTCACATCTGATACGTTGTATTTTTGTTGAATTATGGTGATCTAATTTGAAATCTAGTGAATATCCTTAGGCCCAAAGTTCTACTTTGTGAAAATCTATTCTCTAATTCAATTAACCAAATCCTAAGGGAAGCAATACACATGAACAAGTCCATGTAAACCCTCCATATATTAACAAGTACTATCAAATGATTACAGTCCGTAGCTACAAAATTCACAAAACAAACTAAAATTAAGATAATGTGGTAAAAGGTTTTCACACTGTCATACAGAAATGAAGAAAACTACAGCAAAGTGACGAACTGATGATGACATGATTTCTACAAATTCTGTCAACCAGAGCAAATGACTCATTCACAAAGGTATAATGATTAGACATGATATAAATGTTTGACTAAATGGTAATCCTTGCATTTGGTCTAAAGTTACCTAATCAGCTCAGAGACCGGAACCAGAATCAAGTTAATCCTTGCAATTGGTCTAGAGTTAGTTGTGATGCCAATTACAATGTTTTCTCTGTTTAAGTGGCCGTTATAACTATTACTCGCTCCTAGCCGTGATTTGTATTGTCCACTTATCAGCAATGTCGTAGATTTGCTACTATTTTAGGGTTTCCTAAATCCTGATATGATACTAATTTTGCTTTTACTTGGCAGATCTGTCATTTCTGGGATTTAGGTGATTTTGTCGTCAAGAAAACGAGTTCAGACAGACAATTTGCGAAAACCATTTTTTCCAGATCCCAACAAATTCGTGGTGCTTAGATTCTATGATACTTGCACCGAAGCTTGAATAAATGGATGTTATTTACCGGATTAAGAAGAAAATACCTTTGTAACCGAACGTTGAAGAGATAGAGGCAAGACAGCGACGGTGGTGACGAGCCGACGACGAGCAGACGAGAAGGAGGACGGCGACGGAGCAACGAGAGTGAGACTGGGCCGTCTACTGGGGTAATTGTTGTCGATGCAATTGCAGCCAAAAGTCCTCGCTTTTTTTTGTGTGTATCAGAAATCCTGGTTTGGTATTATTTTTCCCTTTTATTTTGCAGAAAATCTGTATTAAAATTAGGGGTGTTTGGGATTGCTTATCAAAGGGGCTTATTAACTTATTTCAGTATGGCATCGGAGATAAACAGTTTTCTAGTGTTTGGGTAAGGAAAAAAAATGCTTATATCGGTGCCAAACCGGTAATAAGCAGTTTTTGATAAGTTAATCTGTAGTGACTTATGAAAATCGACTTATTACCGGTTTACCATTTTAACTCTGTGTAACATCTATCTCTAATATGCAGCGTATACATCTCATCATCATCTTCACGATCAGAACACAGCACATACATCTCATCATCATCTTCAAGAACAGAACACAGCACATATATACACACAGCACATACATCTCTCATCGATATCTTTCTCCAGATATCTCTTCACGGAACCATCACCGTCTACCCTTCCGATTATCATCATCATCATCGATATCTCTTCTCCATATATATCTCTTCACGAAACCATAATCGTCTACCCTAACCCACCAGTACGAACCGATACGGTTCTACACAACCGATACGATACTTGATTTGAAGAGATATATAAATATACAGATATTTGGATTCGAACGAATAGAAAGCCCTAAATTTGAATTCAAGGTGATATGGTTGAGGCAATCGCCATCTTTCTATCTCCACCTCATCGAGAGGGATCCTTCCACGAAGCTTCCAGAAGGTCCATGGAGTTCCAACGCTGCTGTCGCAGACCCTCACAACCTTCATAGGGGTCATCATCTATGTTTCTCCGTTTCTAATTTTAATCTCGTTGTAATTTGGGATTTGGAAGATTGTCCTTTTTGGTCATTTTACATATATAAGCAAAATTTGTCAAACACTAAAAAACAACTTATCAGCTTATTGCAGTTTGGTACCGCTACAAGCTAATCCAAAAACTTTTTACAAAACTCCGGTTTGATACCACATAAGTTAATAAGCACTTTTACAAAAAAAACATAAGTTGTTTTAAATAAGCAATCCCAAACACCCCCTTAATAAAAAGTAATTTTTGGTAAAAATATATATTTTGTTGATGTTGTGATAGTCCCTAACAATTATCAATCTTCATATGAGCTTTACAACAATGACAGATCTGATAATATCTATAAAAATATCATAGAGATGGAGAAGAAGGAAAAAGTCAATCTTCAAAGTGTGATCAACTCTTCTATTACGTATATGAATATTACAAATGAGCACATTACTAAGATTACAAGACTTCATCCTATTTATAGGGTTAAACTATAAAGTCCTAGTCAAAGTCAAACATTACATACAAAGTCAAACACGATGTCTATTTTAATTATAGACAATAGTAACTTTCAAGACGAATACAATTTTACACTGACTTTCAGTCCTAACATTCTCCCTCTTTGTATTCAGACTTGAAAGAATTTGCGCGCAATGAATTTCGTTTGAACTTTGTCTCTTTATGTTCTTTATGACTTCTTCAGAAACATCAAAAACAATCTTCACTTGAAATCTTCAGACAATTATCTGTTGAGAAAGATCTTCTAACATTCTCTCCCTCGAATGTAGAACCACGATGATCTTCTCTTTTTGACAATGTAGATCAGAAACAATAACAAACTTCAGAAACAATCTTCAGTAAACTGTTGTAAAATGGATCTTCACATTCAACATCTCTCAGACTTTTTAGCATCGGAATAATCTTCGTAATCATCTCTAGTCGCACTTCTTTTGAGTTTTACCAATTTCGAAGTTACTCCCCCTTGATCTTTACATCAGATTCCCTTTATAATGTTCGAAAATGAATATTTCATTATTATATACTCCCCCTTATGATGAAATGAGAATCATTCCATCATACATAAGAATGAATGAAATTCTTTGCATAAGCCGTCAATTCATGAAATTGTAAGTAGATCTTTGCAAATCCACTTAT